TGGGCGCGGCAAACTTTTTTTGGGTCAATCGATAGGTATTGACGAGAACAACACATTTCAGTTAACATTTTTATTCTAGCATCAAAACTGTAGGAGCCACGGTTTTGGGCGGCTTGTGGGCGTTAAAGTGGGCGTGGCACTCTTCTGAAACAAACTTGCGCTGCGCAGGAATCTCAGGAATCTGCATGCCTAATCCCAGTATTGTAGCTTTAATAGTTTCCGAGATCTCAGCGTTCATACGGACAGACGGACGGACGGACAGACGGACATGGCTAGATCGACTCGGCTAGTGATCCTGATCAAGAATATATATACTTTATGGGGTTGGAAACGCTTCCTTCTGCCTGTTACATACTTTCCGACGAACTAACTAGCAAATCAATATCTTAAAGAATCACGAAAGAATAATCAATCACTACTCATTCAGAGTAGTAAGATCTATGACATTGTAAAGATATGTACAAAGTCATTTTGCTTTCGTACATAACAAATAAATGAATGGAACCAACATTTTTTATTCATATGAAAAAAACAGAATCTCTGAATCTTAAAACTAGGAAAACTTAATATTGATATAAACCAACGGCCAAGTCCACCCTCCAAAGAACACACAACCAATTTAACAAATTGCTTAAAATTATATCCATAAATAATGTAATGAAAAAGGCTAACTTCGGCAATATTAAGTCAGTTTACCCTTGCAGCTAAACCAAGTCATCATAAAGTCTTCAATTTTTGATGAAATTTAAATCATATTACTGAAATCGAATAAACCAACTTTATGCCAATTTATATGCATATGTTTATACAACAATATTTATAGGCCTTAAAAGATTTGTATATAATTTATATATATAAATTTTTTTTTTAATTTTAACTATACTTTTGAAATCTTACGGAAATGGTTTATGTATCCCGGCTTATATTATTCCCATTTGTTTTTGAACCTTGTAAAAACTTATTTTTTAAATATGGCTATATCGTTTTAATATAAAAATGGAAAAAAATATAGTCAATAAATATTTCCAAGTCTTAGGTACATACATAGATATTTGAAGTTTAGTTAGTCAAGAGCGCAATGAACGTTTTTGAGAATGACCCCTTTTCGGTTGCTTGCTGGCGGGCCATTTCTTGCAGATGCCCACAAATAAATCAAGATAACAAAAGAATGTCGGGGAGAAAAGGGAAAGGTGTTAGAAAGACAAGTGAAATGGCAGTCTCTCTCTGGGTGAATTCTTAAATATTGCTTAGAAGAATTTGTGCGGGACGCGACTGTTAGCAGGGGCGCCTGAAAGCAGGCCACAAAGATTTTTCCAGCTTTTCGAGAGCTTTTTGGCTAAAGCTTTTTGCCAGAACATGGCCTGCTTTTGAGCGCAACTTGTAAATGGCGGGGGAAAATCAAAGGTCGCCTAATTCCCCAGTGAGTTTTGACCTTGAAAATAATGATATCCCTTGTATTTATTTATTTCAGCTCCCTCCCGCTTTCGAAAGACCCACACCAAGTGAGGAAACTGAGGTGAGTTCTAAATTAAGTTGCATCGGTACGTATACTTGATGTGGCGTATACTTAATATACCTGGCCGGGGGTGGCGAGGTAACGAGGTAACCAGGTAACAAGGTAACAGGAACCCGGTTCAGGGAACCCCAGTGCGTCACAGCTCGCACCTCGATGACTTGTGGAAGAGGGCCAGTGCCAAAAATAGCCCCTTCTCTCACCTGTCCGAGCCCCTTGTTTAGTTGCTTGCCTAGGCGGTACGACGGCAGGCCCAAGTGCTTCCCACAGCGCCCCATTCATAATATAATGCGCTGGGCAAACAAGTGAGTGTGCCCCGGTCCCCAGATCCGATATTCGAGGTTCGCGAGACTCGAGATTCGAGATTTGAGATTCGCTATCCGATCCGTTCCGATCCGGCCTGAATGGGAGATGACGCGGCAAGCGTGGCGGCTTCTAAACACTTTGGCAAATACGGAGCAACGGCGGCGCTGGGTGATTTACCCGTCTATAATCAAGTCGGCCAGAGTGTCTGTGGTCAGTTCGGCCCACTCCCAAATGACAGGTGACGACAATTGGGGTATTTCCTCATGGCGATTCTGGATTCTAAATTCTGACTTTACGTCACCGCCCGTGTCAGCCGGTCAAGGGTACTGGATCGGTATGGCCATCGCCATAAGGAGCTGTCAAGGGACCCTGAATCACTAACCGTTAACTGCCGGACGAACTTCAACCAGTAATATGTGTCAACCATTCATAAAATAATTTATTTGGAATTGGGTCCAGTGGGAATTGTTTCTCTATTAAGAAATTTTAATTGCATAAAATGAAGTATATAGTATGTGAGCCGTAACATTCGTAAGGGTAACCAACATGCGACATCAAACAAGAAAGTCCAGTTTCGGAGACTTCGAACTTCAATGAACATTAAAACTGATTCGATTAATGGTAAAGTCCCAAAAATTATTTTCAAGTGAATTCCAGACGAAGGGCGAATTTCGCTGTTCCAGCAACGTCATCAACAGCCCAAGCAAACACATATAAATGTCTAGGGAAATCAGCTATTACGGTTTTACCCCAGATAAAGTTTTTGAGTTAAGAATCGCAGAGTTGTAGAAATTTGATTGTATTGATGTAACTGCAATCTAGACATCTAATCTGAGTGATTTTTCCTTTATATAAGCTTGGATAGAAAGAATGGTTCTTGTTTCATGTTGTAATGGTTTATTTTTGTTTAACAAAAATCCCGAAAACTGCGGTAAAGTGAACGTACTACGTCTGATGGTTCAGAGTTTAGAGTACAAAGTCTACAGCCTGATAATGAACTCTATTCGTCGAGCTAAAGCTAATACCCCTGCGCTCGCACAGCTCCTGGCAACTGATTTATTTGTGGGACTTCTCTGGGTTGCAGTTTCTGATAACAGAAAGGACAGATCGAGGAACTGTTCCCCCCACCGACAATATAGACGAATATTAGCTAAGCCTGATATTGAGGACCGGCAGTCTTAATGGAACTTAGAGCCGGGGTTTCTTTGCCGAGATGACTCCGAGCGATATTTCCGTCGCTGGAGCCCAGTGCCTTTTTATAGCTGTTTACTATTGATTACGCTGGATGTACGTCACTCTGGAAGCACTCATCAATGGATGGTCATTTCTAAAAGGGGAATGGCAAACAGGGACGCCGTATAGCGGATCTCCCTCGAAAGGCTGACGTTGCGAATTCGGCTGAGGTCGAGATTTGTGCGTGGCCAAAGTTAGCACCTGCTCGAGTGCGATAATTAGCAGTCAACAATAGCTGGTTGGCCGAAACGAAACGAAACGCAACGCAATAAAACAAAGTCAAATGAAATGAAACAAGGTAGCCGACATGGGCAACACTACTTATCGCTGGGCTGGCAGCAGTGAAAAACCCTAAAAAATATGTTTTCCAGCTTTCCCGGAAATAACGCGATCTGAAAATTGCCCAACAATTAATTATGATTAAACGGAAGTTGGAATGCATAACTGAATCGGATCTTGAAATGGCGCAGGGGATTCGGCGGGCAATTCTCGACAAGCGGGTCCCCAGATGAAGTCAGATGTACGCAATACAAGCTTCAGCACCCTCGACATGGCTTTAATGAGAAACCCTTCGGACCTTTGGATTCACTTGCACTTGTTTCCGTGACGCAAAGGCGATCACTGGCGATGTAATGGGATTCTTAGAAGAGACAACTGCTGTGGCAACTCTTGTACTTAATACAACAATTAATTATGATTAAACGGAAATTGGAATGCATACTAATTGGGATCTTGAAATGGCGCATGGGATTCGGCTGGCAATTCTCGACAAGCGGGTCCCTAGAAACCCTTCGGACCTTTGGATTCACTTGCACTTGTTTGCGTGACGTAACGGCGATCACTGGCGATGTAATGGGATTCTTAGAAGAGACAACTGCTGTTGGCAACTCTTATACTTATTGACCAATGGATTGGCTGAAGTTCACTTGGCCTCGTCACTGGCCACTGGCCACTGGCAGTTTCCATTCAGTGTTCAGGCCGCGCACGTCCCAATCGATCGATCGGAAATGCCTGCGGAACGAAGCGTAGCTTGCAAGACAATTGTCATTTGCATCGAGAATCGCCACAGCACAGTAACCGAAGTAACGCCGTCACAAAAGATAATTGACTCCCCGAAGTAAACGCGATTCGGTCATCTCAACAGGTCGTTACCTGGCTCCTAACTATTCACGAGACTCACTTTCGTATAGCACCTTTCCCAACAATATTCCAATTGTAATCTATAAACAAACAAGGGCAAATAGTAATAGCAAGGTTTCGAGCTCCTTGAGGATGTGCAGGACTAGTACGGACTCTATATTGGTAACCCATCGCCTGGTTAAGAACCAAAAGGCCCCATCACCCGGTGTAGGGCACAAGAATTCAATGTGACATCCGTTTTGGGCCATCGAGCGTGTGTGCATAAATTACAAGTGGTGGGTGGAAGAGGCAACTCACTTTCAGCCAGACAGGAAGAAAACAAAGCGACAAACGCAATGTTGCAAGTATATACCACTGAGTGACCAGGGAATAAGCCATGTATTCCCAGTCTGAGTCAGAGACGTACGATCCCGATCAACAAAATTAGAACTCCAAGGGAGTTTGGTTAGTATATTTGGCTATTGATACCCAGTACTCGAGGAGTCAAAGGGGTATATTGTACTCGTGATGGAAAGTGTGTAACAGGAGGAAAAGTGCATGTAGTCCTTAACAGGATCACTAGCCCACTAGATCACTACTCAGCTGAGTAGCGAGTATCTGATAGTCGAGGCACCTGTCTTTAGGATTCTCCCTTATTTGGCTTTGATTCCATCGAAATTGAGTTAGCACGCGATAAGTGCTCAACTGCCATTGGCGTCATGAAGAGCGGTCGCCGCATGCTGCCGCTGTTGTTGTTGTCGCCGAACGGCACTTGTTGCTGTTGTTGCGACCAGTACAAGTGCGCTGGGTACTTCGGTATCGCACTCGGCGTTCGCCGCTCGCGTGTGTGTGCGTAAAAAAGTGAGCTCGGCCACGGGCTGCGCCGTTCGCGGATTGCGGTCCGGCCGCTATTTAAATGGCCGGCGTGTGCCCCAACTCCTCATAATCCATAAGATCTCGCAGAGCCCAGACGCAAGCTCACAAGCTCAGTCTTCTGAAAGCCCCAAGAACCTAACGAACTCAAAATCGCGAGTGCCAATCGTATAAGTCTGACAAAAATCAAGTTACAAACGCTAAGAAAACATGGCCAACAGCACAAGTGAAACCTCAGAGATGCTGTCCTCGGAGCGATTGCAACAGCAGAGTCCTGCTGCGCCGACAAGGACCTGCCACCAGCAACAACAGCCCCTCATCGCCGTCTTCTCCAGTTTGGGACGAATGTGTAAGTGCACCCACACCTCTGAATCATGTCCGCAAGATAAAGCCGCTCTATATCTCCGGATATCTTTATCTGTGTCACCGGGAAGCACGTCTGTATACAGCATTTGCTAGCCCCAAAACAAATCAAGTGAAAATGGAAGTGATCATAACAATCGTAGTTCTCGGGTTGCCATTCTCAAACCAATTCTACAAATGGAGTCACCCATACTCACACTCTTCTTCCCTTGTCCTTGCAGCTCCCGCCAAGTGCTGGCTCCTGGGCATCCTGCTGCTGCTGACAGTCGCCACCAGCTGGCCAACGGGGACCTCCGCCGCCCCACGTCGCGCTCGAGGACTGCACCTGATACTGGGGCACGGCCAACATCGCCATCACCAGCACGCCAGATCGACGGATCCCATTTCCATCATCGTACCCTTGCCCACAAATCAGACCGAGGGCTGGGAAAGCTGCTCCAAAATGAGCATAACTCCAAACACATCAGCACTGATCTACGCCCGGGATGTGGCCATTAACACGCGGGAGGCCGCCATCTGCCTCACCCAGGAATGGGTAAGTGGAGCATTCGAATGCCTGGGGCCAACCGAAATGCTAAGTCCTTTGATTCCCGCACAAACAGCTGGAGCACATGCAAAGCGGCGACCTGAAGTCGGCCATCAGGAAATTCTCATTTCACAAACTGTACCTGAAGCACCCTCTGCAGGCTGAGGTCGAAAAGGTTGTCTTCAATTACGAGACGGAGACTTTCGATTACGTCGGTGCCAAGCCGGTGTCCACAGTCGAAGAGGAGATGCACCAGATCATCGAGACTCTGCTTGTCGTGGAGCACCTTTTCGATGCGGTCCAGTTCAGCCACAAGGATTGGAATTGCTACTTCAAAGCCTTCATGGATTTCTTCCACCACAACATGCATTCGGCCCTGAGAGTCGCCAACAAGTCGGATCTTTGCAACCCCGAGGACTCCGACTATAATAAGAACCACATTTTTCTGAAGTTCGCCGCCGCCTTGGAGACCATCAAGGTGCTGACCGTCATGGTGCACAAGTACGATCAGCTTATCAGCAATCAGTAGAAAAACACCGATCACGTTCCAGAAGCTACAAGCCATACCAAAAACAATCGCCTTCGATGACCCACTGCAATCTCAAGCTGCTGTATTCGTATATCCAGTACTATCCGTAGTTGTCTACGGGAAAACCCTCATCTGCCTTAGTCCCAATTATTTATAATAACTTATTATCGCCATCCTCCCCCGCACATCCATTCGTATTTATATCGCTTTCGCATCCTATTTATATACATATCACCATACTCACACAACACATTCACCGCCTCGCAGGCTCGATAACTTATGAAAACTATTACTTAAGTGTATTTTTTTATATTATTATATTATGATTATTAATAAATTATATTGACTATGCGCATAAGCGAAAGCGTTTTTATGGAATTAGAATAGTTGGCTGGTATTTCATGTGGGGCTTATCTTAATATTTATTTATACCATGCGCGGATTCATGGTGTGGGGGGATACAGGGGATAGATCCCCCTACTCGGACTAAAAAAGTATATGTAATATGTATTTTATTCAATTTTTTTTACTTATACATCCAAATTCGGGATTCGCCACTGATTTATACTGATGCAGTCTTACATTAAATACATTGAATTGACTTCGTAAAGAGTGGGAATCTTAAATAAATAGATGTAAGTTTGTGTTTACCTAACATACTCATATAGTGCTCTTTAGAAAATCGGAAAACCAAGTTTTTTAAGACTGATACTTCATTTTGTAGTACATTTTTAGCAAACTCTTTAGACCTTTAGACTCTTTAGAGTCCTACAAAGCAAGGGGGTATTATGATCTCTGATACTTTTAGACCACAACCACGATCCCCAATTGCCACTCCCACATATCGGAAATACTCGGGAAATGTGCGAGATTCCATTTTCGGCTCGACTCGTCACCCACAACAACCCCGACCCACCCCATCATCGTTTATAGCTCGTGCCCGGGGCACGTTCCGTTAGATACGTATCCGAGGTTTTTCTCCGAGGGTTTGGAGAAAACCCCAAGTACCGCTAGCTAGTAGTGACTGTGACTCATGGACCATTAGGCAAAATGTCGGGCAATCGTCGCGTGATCTCTGCGTGTGACGAAGGCACTGCTATCTGCATAGTATCTGAATACATATGGGCATAGTCTGCCAGTCGGCAGGGGTATTGTGTTGCCTTCGAGGAGGGGCTGTGGCACAAAGCGACTGAGATTACCGTTGCCACTTGGCGGGCTTCCCGATTCTTTGGGGGTAATCAGATCGGATCGGATGGTTAGGAGCGATCAAAGATGGTGGTGCGCCGGGATTGGGATCTTGGTTTTTGGATTTTCGACTTGGGATTTGGTATATGGCTTTGGGGTTGGGAATGGGGATGGTACAGTTCGCGTGGCAATGGCGTCAGTCGCAACGATACAACCGCCGCAGTTGTTGCTGTAAATTCCCAGCGGGGAGAATTGAGTCAGCGGCAGAGACCGCAGCAGCAGCGGCAGTAGCAGCGCAGCAGCAGCAGCAGCTCCTCTGCTGCAGCGGGCTGAGTTTATGAATGAAACTTCAAGTCCACACAACGTCCCGCTCGACAACCTGTTATCTGCTCTTCTCTCTCACTCTCTCTCTCTCTGGAAAGCGGCAACCTGTTGCCTTTGCTCTTCTGGCACTCTTCCACTCGAGTCGCCGCCGTTCTCTGGCGCTCTCTGGCGCTCTCTCACTCTCTTTTGGAGCGCGTTTGCAGCCCCGCCATTGGCCAGGCTGCTTCGTGGCCGCTCGTCTTCGGAGTGACGCTCAGCGGGCGGTGGACCAATCAGCGGCGGTCCGATGGGGCTACGTGCGGCCGCCACCCACACAAGTGCGTGGTCAGGCAGCTCGGCGCCACGCCCCCGACTCCCCCCTTTTGCCCTCACTTGGCCCAAAATTTAATTAAAGAACCACAACACCCACAAGCAAACAAAGAATTTAATTAAATGCCCCTTTGTTGAAGACCTATAGCTCCATTTTGCTCCACAAAAGGTACACAAAAAAGTTTTGGGTCAAATTGAACAATGATATGATTGAATTCGCATTGTCCATTTGGCCAATAAAATATGGAGAACATACTATTCTACGGAATTTTTATTATTAAATAGTAACCAAGGATACAGCAAAATACACGTCACTATTTTATGTACAAAGGTGTTTTCACAGCCTTGTTGGGATATCACTGTAGAAATTTGATTTTTTATTAGGATTGCCAAACGTGTCGGCTTGATAATTTTAGTGTTTTTTTTTCCAGCGATTGTGTGGAATGTGGATAAAGCTACCAAAATAACATTCATCTCGTTGCAGGACGTACATACTATAAGTCAGGATTTCCGGAATAGGCAAATTCGAGCAAAATCCTCGTTAGTTTTTAATAAAAATTCAGATAAAGGAAATATAATTAAATGTGCACTATTTATACGTAAAAGATTATAGCAATATGAATTCATGTTCAAAATGGATGGAGGAGGATTTAGGAAGAGGATTTTAGGAGAATGTTTAAGGTATCATGAATTTGATTGAATGTATCCCACACACAAAATTCCGTAAGTTCCGTGGAATAATTGAGGCTGATTATTAAAGAGGGATAAATAACTTACTAAAAATGCTTCGAACATGTGTAATTGCAATTAATGTATGCAATGTTTTTCTATGGATTAGAAGTATCCGCAAACCGGATATCAGTGTCGGATACAAAATTTGGTTGTAGGGGGGGATTTAAGAAAAAATTGTTGAGTAGAAATCAAAAAATGTGGGATAAAATACATATTACATATACTTTTAAGCCCGAGTGAAGGGATCTATCCCCTATATTCCCCAGTGGATACATTTTAAGTGGTTTTTGTTAACACTGCTGGCTTTATATTTGATTAACGCTGGACAGACTACTTTTCTAGCTTTTGCATACGATTTTAGATAAAGTCTGTGCCATCAAAATGACAGTTTCTTGTGGACTTTATTTGATTGTGCCTCGTAGTTGAAGTTGAAAATCAACGCACAACTTAAAATTACCTACAATATGGGGAAATGTTGTTAAATGTAACAAGTTAATTGTATTGTAGATCTAAAGTAATACATGTTCTATGAAACGCACATAAATAGAAGCTTGAAGACAGAAAGATTCATAATAGATATAAAACCAAGGGCAGTTTGTTGTTGCATAATATTACTATCTTTCACTGGGTTTAAACAGCCCATACCATTACCATGAAGTGTTATTGTTCTTTCTTTTGTCTATTGTATCTATTTAAAATGTAGAATAGTATAGCAATAGTAAGTAGTAAAAGTAGGGGTACTTTTTAATTGGATATGTGAAGCGAGTTCATCGAGCATTCATTACAATATTGGTGGCTAAATTAAATTACCAAATGTGATGAAAAATACACCAAAATGCGCAGTAAAATGGTTTCCTAATTTATTCTTATATGGCAGTTAGTTGTTATGTCCAATTAAAAAATGTTTCAATATGGTAAACAGATGATTCAAGCCCGAGATAATTTAATATGGGGCTTGACTTAATGGCCAACTTATCCTTGTTTGATTTAAAAGCGGCAAACGAACTTCAAAGGGTAAAATCACGCAGAGGATTTCCTCAATCAATCCCTACCATTCCAGATAAAGTCCGTAGCGAATGGCGATTGCAACGGCAATCGAGGATCGGATGAGCGGCGGAAGTGAACAAACAAACAAATAAACAAGCAAATCGACTAACTAACCGTTTAAGTTACCGTTTCGGATGTGAGAATTGCAGCTGGAGATCTTGATAAAGCGAGCGATTTTACGCATAATCAAAAAACATCAAAACAACTGGGAAATGAAAACTCACACCTCCGCCTCCGGCCAGTGCGATGCACACCCACGAAAGCAGGGAAACGGGAGGGTCACCTTTTGGCCGCCGGCTAGGTAGGCAGGTCAATAGTTCGGCAGTTCGGCAGATCGGAGGATCAGGTCCTGCGAAAGGGACAGGAGCTAAGCAGCGTGTAATGACGGATGGCCTCCTTGGCTTGTATCTGCTACATGTATCCGTATCTCTCGGTTAACCTTCCTTCTCGAGGTCGAGGTGTTCGCTGCGGCAATTAAAGCGTATCCTTAGCATTCGCTACGCCGCTAAAAAATTACACCATGACAGGACACAATGCATTCAGCCAGCCGAGGACCTCACAGGACAGCTCAATTTTGTAGCAAAATATTTTTGTTGTCCAGAACGAATCGCAAGTAAAACAGAAAGTCGGGGCAGGGCGGGGGGAAGGAGGCGATGGTGGTGGAGGAGGAGGGGTTGCCTCCCGCCGCGAGTCCTGTGTGTGTGTGTACCGACAGCAGCAGCAGGAGCTCATCAATGCAATAATCGTGTCCATCTGAGGGATATAGAGATGTATCCTATGGGTCCCAGATGAAGCTGTTGCTCCGGGTGCGAATTGCCTGGATGTGCGGACTCCTTTTTTTGTGCCCTGCCGCCCGTTTCCCAAAGGAGCGGCACAAAAGGTGTGCGCTGCCACCTTGATATATGTGCGAGTCCCTCTCTGTGGGTTGTGGGTCCTGCGAGTCCTGCCTCGCGGCGAAATCAAGGCGAGTGGCCCCGCTGCGCGACACAACTGCTTCCTGCTGCCAAATGCAGTTGCTGCACGCTGCACTTACGGTTAGACACAAGGACGAGCTCTCCGCTGCGTTCTTTGCGTCCCTTTGACCCGCTATCTGGCCATCTACAGCTGTTTTTGCGCCGCCCAAAACAATGCGGCCATAATTCCGTGCGCTGCCCACAACAACAATTGCAGCCAAACGCTCGATTTAATTAGGCCGTCAATTGTGCAAGCCCTCGAAAACAGGGAGTATTAGAGATGACCTGGCCGAAGGGGAGGTTCAGGTAGCGCTGCATCGAGCTGGAGCTGCAATAGGGATTACCTGGCCCACCGGGCGGGCTCCTACAAAGGTTTCCCACCCAAACAGAGCCATGCGAAGCTGACCTTACAGAGCTGCTAAAACTTAACTGGTTTAATCGTTTAATGTATGAAAAAATACTACATATTCATAAACGATCTTATAATAAGCAAATAATGTAATGGAATATATAATAATGTAATAAAATATATAGTACTTTCAATAAAAATAATATAAAATGATGTAATCAAACACTTTCCATCAATAACCAGGATTAGATTTTAAGTTCATAGATCGTTAGTCCTCAGATTGCATTGTTATTATTTTTACTGTATTACAGTTCTGTGGTATTTATACATAATATCACATGTATTTTATTATTATAACTTGATCAACTTATTTTTGAATTAGATTAGATTTTAAGTTAATTGATAGTTAGTTTTAAGATTGCATTGTTATTAATTTTACTGTATTACAATTCTGTGGTATTTTCATATAATACCATATGTATGTTATTTTTCTAACTTGATAAACTTTTATTACAACTTTTTAATAATTCGCCTTTTTTGTAAGGTATGCATTGGCTTACTAAAAAGTTAGGAACTTTTCTTATTATCGAGATGTATAACATGGAAAGTAAGTACTTGGAAGTTAAGAAAAGCAATCGGTGCTTCAATTTATTAAAAATGTCCTATTTGTTTGTTTTTTTTATTATTTTATTATTTTATTTGTGGATACTTTTAAAAATCTGTTAGAATATTGATTAGATAGTGCTTGATACTGATTATAATAAATGAATCTTTAAAGAAAATTCACAATTGGTGGCTTTCCCTGCAGATTTTCCAATAAACGATCGGCCTTATTTTCTACGCAGAGAGTTCTCGAAGAGGAGAGTTATTTTACCTGGATTAGCGGAATGTGATGTTGGTCATTTCCGTTGATCACTCTCTGGGCCGATTTGAATGCCAGGACTTTTGCGGAGGGGTGAGCAGGCCGCTCAAGGTCACCGGCGGCCGAAGGAGCGAAAGAGAGGGCGCACTGGGCCAGCCTGGTTAGAGCGAGATGGAGACAGGTATGCTGCGCCTTTGGGGGACCAGGTAGGCTCTCTCTGCGCTCTCCTTCTCTCGCTCTCTCTCTCCGTCTCTTTGAGTGAGTGGCGCGGATTGGGCAAGTGGGAAATTCGAGTCGCAATGGCGACCGGGCCAAGATCGACCTGGCCCGCAGGAGCAAGAGGGATGGCGAGAGGACAGCCGGTTGGCAGGCTCACGCACACAAGCGCAGACCAGACCACACACACACATGCGAATGGAGATCCACAGGTGACCTGCGAAAGAGGATACCGATCGGAGGGAGCGGGACAGGGAGAGCCTGCCGAACCGGCGGTCTTCTTCTGGCTCGGACTGGATCGGACCATGGCGTACCGCTCGGCAATCGGCGGGCAGCGACGCCGGCAGAGGCCAACAGAGGCCGCAAAGGCCGCTCAGCTCGCCTCAGTTTCCATTTCAGTTTCGGTTTCGGCCTTTTGGCGCTGCTCATCGGGTCGGTAACGCTCTGGTATCTGGTATCTGGTGTCCGCAGCCGCAGCCGCCGCCGCAGCCTCTCAGCGAAGAAAGCTGGTCAAATCCGGCGCGACTGTGGTCTCAGTTCGGTTTCACACTCGAACGCGAGCAGAAGTGTCCGCGAGTCAGTCTCAGAAAGCAAAAAAAAGAAACACCAAAGCCCCAGAACACAAACGGAAAACAGATCGTCAATTGGATCGTCCCCCACATACATATTCATATACATTTTTTTGCGAGTGTTGTGTTGCAAGTGCCCCCGCCGTCGTACCGCCGGAAAAAGATCTATCTATCGATCGGCCATTTGGATTAACGCACGGATTTTGGGAACGCAGACGCGCCACAAGCAACGAGGATCCCGCGCGGATCCTGGCCAACTCTACTTTTCAACTATAATGCGGTGTGTGTATTATTTTTAATTTGATCATGACTTAAGAGCAGACTTGGAGAGTGGAGAAAGGATATGCTGCTCAACGCTAAAAATCGAAAAGGATTTTTTTGCAAAATCAATTCTCCACTCTTCAACTGATTTATCAGCGGCGAACGATCAACGATATAGGTCTTCCAAGGCCAGAAACTGCTATTTAGATTTTATAAAGAATTTTAGATGGATCACTTCTTTAGCTTATAGGCCGCTGCATATAATATCAAGAACAGAACATATTTTTTCCTGAATTATAAGTAAAAGTAGTAGCCTAAATCAATACTTAGATTCCATAATCAAAAATAGTTAGCATATATAGAAAATTTGAAGTTCCAGAGCTCAAAATCCAAAATTCGAAATCAAATTTCCCACACTTTCACACTTGAAGCCAGCCAGAAACGCAGTTTCCGCCACCGAGTCTATCGCCTGGACAAGATTAGAGCATCCCATCCGCCTCGGTCCCCGTGCCGATCGATCAGCAGATCTTCAGTATTCGCTCAGGCTACTCTCGAGTTAATTGTCTAAATTAACAAGTTTTCCCCGCCCCCACATACACATATATCTCGCCCTGGAAAAGACAAAAACAACGAAAAGCGAAAAAAAGCAGCAAAACAAACGCAGAGAAAATGTTAAAAAAAGCGAGCCAAATTGTTCAGACTGTTGTCCGGTTGCAGTTGTACTCGCATTGAAGGAGGTTCGGCATCGGCAGCCGAGCATCGTCCGACCCGTAAACCCCACCACTACCCAAGCACCAGGACCCACCAGAAACCACCAGGAAACCACCAGGAGCCACCCACCCAGTCCAGCCCACTGTCGGAATCGAATGGAATCGCATAGAATCGAATCGAGTTAAATCGTTCAGGGAGAAATTGTAATCGCAGATCGTTGATCGTCTCGCGTTGATGCTGAAATTTGCTTAGTTGAACTTACTCTTGCATTCTCGATACTCATTGTGTGTCTCTATCTCTCTTTATCCCGCCCCTCTCTCCTTATTTGACCCGTCTCCATTTTGTGCCACCCCCTGTTTGTGTACAACCCCCCCATAAACCACCCACATCCCACCACTACCCACTGTGTTTTGTGGACCACGGACAGCAGTTGGTTGGCAGTGCGCTGCGACCACAGCTAAAGGCAGCACCACGGCAGCCGGCAACGGAAACGGAAACGCCAGAGGAAGAGGAAGCGGCTACCATGCGGCGATGGCTCGTCCGCTGCTCCTGCTCCTGCCCACCCTCCTACTCCTCCTCCTCGCCGCCCAGCTGCCCCACCCGGCCCAGGGGCGCAGCACCACCAGCAGCGGCGGCCTCACGGTGATCGACAGCGATCGACTGCGCATCCGCACCACCTCGAGCACCGCCTCAAACTCCAGTGCCGGCCAGAATCTCGGCCAGCCAGCGATACCGCCGGCCAGCGCCGGTCCGCGCAAGCGCCACCGGAAGCGGAACAGCAACTGGATCGACTACCGCCACTTCGACGAGAACACCACCGCCCTGGAGTGGGCCAATCCCTGCGGGGGCAACTACCATCCCGCGGCGGCAGACCGCTTCAATCGCCAGCGGCCCAGGCAGGTGAGTTCGGCGGCGCACCCTCGAGTTCCTGATCACGTGTATAACCCGGTGCTTTCTTTGCTTTGCTTTCTTTTACCCTCAGAGCTTCAATCAGCTGAAGCGCCACGCCTTCAGGGAGTACCGCAGCCTAAACAGCAGCCAGGATTCGGCCATCGACATCCGCAACATGACCATGTGGTCGCTCCACACGCACAACTACAAGTTCCTGCCCAAGCTCAAGCCCAATTCCACGGTAGGTTAAACTTGGTTGGTTTAAAGAGGGGTTTTATATCAGAACTTATGGGGGTTTCTAGTAAAGAAGGTACTTGTGCTCAGGTTTTATAAAAGAAATCCCCAATGAAATCTTTGAACTTTATATGGAACCTTTTTTAGGATCGATTTTTAAACTCATTTATCTCTTTATAGGTTTTATTTAATATTGAACCCTTCATAGGGTCGATTTATTTGCAATATATGTATCTCTTCATAGTTCTTAGTTAATATCAAAACCTCTTTAGAAACGATTTTTTTTTTAAATCAACTATTTAGTTTGCTATTAATATCGAACCCTTATTAGAATCGATTTTTTTGTATAGTTTTTTATAGGCATTTCGGGATCTCCCTTAATTCGAAACCTACTAATCCAACATTTTCCCCGTTGCTCTTCTTCTACCCCCCAGATTGCCCTGAAGCGCTGGTACCGCAACATGCAAACGTACGTGGCCAGTTTCGCGTATCTGCGGCGCCAGCAGATCCGCTGGGACCAGCGGTCCATCACCCGCGAGTCGAGCACCGCCCGCGAGCTGCGCGAGCTGCTCCTGAGCTCGCGGCGCATCCTCTGCGAGCTGGAGACCGCCGTCAACCAGACGCAGAGTCCGCGCCAGAAGCAGCGGCGCAGTGGTGCGGCGGTGGTTGCCGTAGGCGGCGGCACGACCACATCCACTCAGCTGCCGCAGATCTCGCGGCTGGAGATGAACAAGCGTCTGAAGCTGCGCTCCAAGACGGGTGGCTCCGACTCCCATGGCGGAGCCAGTGCATCCGCGGCGGCAGGCGAGGCGGACTCCATAGACATGCGGTTCGTGAAGCACCACTACTACGACTTCCTGCGCACCATGTACCAGCTGCTGAGGCGGGACGGCAAGCGGGTGAAGAGCCGGCCGCGGAAGCACCACAAGAAGCACAGGAACCACCAGCGGCAGAGCCAGAAGAAGCAGCAGCAGCAGCAGCTGGCGGAGCAGCTGGAGCAGCGCTGGCGGAGCTCGGCCTCGAACGGCAGGGAGTTCAACGAGGTGTCCAAGCCAGCGGCAGGTGGTGCAGCTGCAGCTGCAGTCGGTGGAAGCCCCCAGTTTCCGACGGGCAGACGTGGAAAGCGCCAGTCGAAACGCGTGCAGCGCACGTGAAGCCACACAAATACAGCCCCCCTCATACTCCCTCTTCCTCAGGACACGCCCCTTTCCCATGTCCCGCCCCCTTAATTTAACCGTTTATCGATCGATCGTAGCTTAAGTAAATTATTTGATTGCCAGCACCGACTCTCTTCTCCATTTCATTGCAAGTATTACCACATTCCGTATTTATTGAAGCAGGCGAGAGGAGCATATAGCTATAGCATAAAAACGTATAACCATAAAGCCCCGATCCGCAGTTGCCGTTCTAGTCACATAAGAGCAACCGCCAGCCACCCTAGCAGTATATGATCCACTGGAAAGTATTATTCCACAACCCCCCCGACCCCTGCCCATATTGAATTTTATGTGACCTTTAAGTAGGCTAAGCTACCCCACCATCATATCCATATCCATATCCATGCCCCCTAGGCTAAGCTTCGATCTTAAGGCACACTTTTTTTTTCGTAGGCTAGCTTGTGTTTGACATCTGTGATATAGTGCTTGACTAGTTCGTATTTAACCTAATTGTAAATATTGATCGCATGTGCGGCATGTATCTGCATCCATGCTTTCGTAGGCCTAAGCTCGCCCTTAGAAATCGATTTTCGTATTTATAGAACCGACCGATATTTGACTAAGCCAGCAGCGAAATAAAACGAACAATAAATTGAATTGAATCTGAAAATAAAGTATGATGGTCTTTTATGTCTGGAAGTGCCGGAAAAGGTAAACATTTTGCAAATATCCAATTCCAATAAATAGGAATTGCTGATATCTTTGCGAACTAAAATCTTTTGGATGTCTTTTATTTGATCACTATCATATTAATGTTATATGGTATCCTTCGGACTCTTTACCCTATACTGAACTTTCTTATAATCTTTCGAATCTTATGGTAAAATCACAAAACGCCGAGAAAATTGGTTACAAGAACCGTACCCGAAAGTGTTTTATTTTTAAAGTGAATGCTTATATTAGTTTTTCAGGTCATTAAATGAAAGATAATGTATTGAAATTATCAACAGATCGCCCCAACACCCTTTCTTCTCTCTGACCTATTGTATTAACTTCGCTTTATATTATGTATTCAAGCTAAGTTCAGTTAAGTGGAGTGAATCGGTAAGTATTTCTATCATGGGTAGTACAATCAAGGGATCCCATCAATCCGATTTCCTTGACCCACTTTCTGGGGATCGGCGTCTTTCCCTTCGTGGGCCTGTCTTTATGGCTCCTCCGTGGGTCGTGGGTTTTATGATCTCCAGCGGCGTCAAACTATTAGCACGCCATGCCCAGCTCCCAGTTCCCAGCTGCCATCTCGGATCTCCACAGATCCCGATCCAGATCCCCACCTGTGCCTACCTGGCCCAGAAACCAATGAATGGACTGCGATCAATGAACCACTCAATGAAAGTTCGCGCCAAGAGCGGCAGAATAACTATAAAGCTGATCACCATCATCAGTGGTCTTAGCGGGTTCGGGATGCCAATGATGCTGGGATCAAGGAGCAGATGAGCTGCCGCTTATCCCCGGGGTTAACTAAAACACGGCTACACTTGTCCTGGTCTCCGTCGCCGTTTCCGTCGGAGTCTGCGTCTGCGTCTGGAATCGAGAAATCCCCGCTTTGTTTTAAGCGGCTTTAGGCAAATTTACTTTTTAATGCCTTGGCTTATTGCCAAGCTCCGTTTAGGGCGCTTAGTGGCAACTTAAGGCCACGTCCAGCCGGATTATTAGCACTCGGGGAACGGAAGCAGTCTGGAGTGTCCTCGATGAGAGAGATCAGGGGACAACTATTGACATGCAAATGGATTAGCACGAGACGCTGAGCGAAAACATTTCTGCATGCATTATAATGCCGCCTAAGCCGTTTATTGATTGCAATCGATCGAAGGAAGTCCAGACTCTAAGCCGCTCCAGGGTTCGGTTTGCATTGGCTTGGGTTCAGTCCGGTTCGGTTAGGGTCTCCTGGCCATATTCCATAGTCCATAGTCCAGTGTCAAGTGTCCCCTTTTCGGCCTGCTCTCTCTTTCGCCCGAGAGCCTGAGCCCTTTTGGGTAAGTAGGTGTTGTTATGTTTTTAGCTGTCATAAATATTGTAAAACTCGGTAAATATTTAAACAGCGTGCACAATAAAGGCAAATGCCAAGAGGCTCGAGGGTCGACGGGCAGGGCATTCCGGCAACCAGGCAACCGGGCATCCAGGCATTTCGACATTTCGAACTCGGCCCTGGCTTTGTTTTTCGGCCTGGTCATAACGGGGACGGGCCGACTGCTACCTGCTCCCGGGTGAAATTTGAAATTTGAATATGTGCCTGGCCAGAAAAGATTAACAACATTTAATAACCCATCATTGGGCCGTCTCGCTCCCACGCATTGTGCCGACAATTTTGCAAGATAACTGCATTTGTGCAGTCCTTTGTGCCGGCCACTTTTTGCCATTGTCCTGCCATTTTGCGCTCCTCTTTTTTCTTTCTTCGGCCTCACAAATTCCCAATCTCTTTTTGTGTTTTTTATTGTCCTGCGGCACCTTCCAGGAATCCCGTCCAGCGACGGCCTTCGGGTCGCAAAACTGCGTCCTGTCTTGCACGGACAGGATATCTGTATCTATTTGGCCACATCCCGTTTGCAACTCAACTCAGCTCACCTTTCTGCCCAATCGAACGCTCGACAAGTGGCAACTCAATTAGGGCATCGGTTCAATTATACGGTCCTGAGTGCCGTGATGAGTCCCATCAGCGGGATGGGAATATCAATTGATGGTTGATCAGCTGTTGGTTTGGGTATCACTGTGGAATATAATCACTATATCATTTTAAATGGTATTTATGTTCTTAAAGAATGGATATGATACGGACTATCAAAGGAAATATAATTTAGTGTTCAATGTAATCACTTTATTACTTTAAACAGTATGTTCCTAATTGTTGGATATCATTTATTTCAGTATTGTTGGGAATATCAATTGATGAGTGATCAGATCTTAGATTTGGTATCAATTGCATATAAATCAAAGGGTATATCATTTAGTATTCAATATAATCGGTGTATTGTTTTAAAAAGTATTTATGTCCTTAAAGATTGGATATAGTACGGATCATTAAAGAAAATATTCTTTCATTTTATCAGCGGAATGGGAATATCAATTGTTCATTGGTCTTGTATTGGAATATAATCACTGTTTTATTTTAAAAAGTTTTCATGTTCCTAAAGGATGGATATGATGCGGATCATGAAAGGAAATATCATTTAGTTTTCAATGAAATTACTGTAATATTTAAAATAGTATTAATGTTCCAAGTTGCTGGATATGATATGGATAATCAAAGAAAACATCCTTTGGTATCCATTTCAATATTGTTGCTGATATCAATTGAAGATTGATCAGATCTTAGATTTGAATATAATAACTCTAACATTTTAAATGGTATGTTCCGAAAGATCGAATAAGATACGGATCATTAAAGGAAATATCATTTAGTATTCAACATAATCAATTGGATATGATCACGATCATCAAAGGAAATATTATTTAGTATTCAATATAATCACAGTATTATTTGGTTGGATATATAACGGATCATTAATGGAAATATAATTTAGTATTCAATATAATCAATGTATATTTTAAAATGGTATTTTGTTTCTAAAGATTGGGTATGATCATGATAACGATAATCAAAGGAAATATCATTTAGTATTATTTTAAATATTGTTAGCCTATTTAATATATTTAATTCACCCCTGAAAGTAATGATACTGGGCCAATCAAATCTTAAATATAAGGCGATGTAAGCCGCTATAAATAATCAATAAATCTATTTATAATAGTCCAGTTAAGCCAGTTTTCGATCGTCGCCAGTAACTGATATGTGTTTCTACGATCTCCACCAGATGACATTTGTCACCTCCCACACAAGTCTTAATTAATGATTGCTTAGCGCCTCGACTTCAAGGCGGTTTGTATGCCGACTGTAGTTCAGCTTTTAACATCGCCCCGACATCTCATTAGCCCCCCCCCCATCAATTTTTAGCTCGGGTGATCCCCCACGACCCCCTGCAAATTAGCCGTCAGCCGCCTCAATTGAAATTCGATTTGTTTACAAAGCGATTCAATTAATTTGTCAAATTGGCCGCGTGATTTGCATTTCGAAGCGTTCGCATTTCAATATTTCCTTGTTTATTATTTTTATCGGCGCTGCCGACGGGTTGTTATTGTTATTATTATTATTATGCTTTTTTACAGTTGTTATTATTTACGTTTGCATAGCCGGCCGGCTTGAGCCCGTGCTTTTGTTGTTCATGTTGTTGTTGTTGGACGGCTCGATGGCGCTGATGATGACAAGCGGGCAGCGAATTTTTAACAATCACTTTAGGCCTCCCAATCGACGCCGTTGTTTTTGTTTACGAGCGCGGATCGCAAAGGGTTCCCGGGAAAAGCCGGATATGGATGCTTTTAACAGAAGCCAAACGATTTAAGTGTGAAAAGAGTATAATGTTTTGTTTATAAAAACGAAAATAGAACATAGTTTATGGGCAATGCAGAAAAGGCGTCCTTAAGTGCTTAATAGCTTAGATTCTATTGAGGTTCTAATAATATGGATTTTTTTGACCTATGAGTTCCGATTGAAGTCCCCAAAAGTCTTTAATACTTTTAATACTATTGGTGTTCTTATAATATGCTTTGCTACGTATGTAGGTTTTATCTATCAGTTCCGGTTGAGGTTTCTAAATCCCCCATATTCCAGATCCTATTTTAGATTTTTGGAGCTTTTCCTGGTCAGTTCCGATTGAGGTTCCTCAGTTCCTAATAGTTTTGATACCATTGGTGTTCCTATAATATGCTTTGCTACGTAGGTTTTACCTATGAGTTCCGATTGAGGTTCCTAAGTCCCTAATAGTTCAGATCCTATTTTGGTTTTTATGAAAGGGTTTATTTTGAATAGGTTTTATCTGTGCGTTCCGATTGAGGTTCCTAAGTCATTAAAAGTTTTAATACTTTTTATATTTTTTTATTATAAGTATGTTTTAGCTGTGAGTTCTCATTGAGTTTCCTAAGTCCCCAATATTTTAGATACTTTAATTTTTGTATAATACGTTTTTTTAGATAGGCTTTATCTATGAGTTCCGTTTCAGGTTCCTAAGTCCCTAATAGCTTAGATACTATAGTGGGTCTTATACTATGGTTTCTTATCTGTGAGTTCCGATTGGGGTTCCTAAGTACCGCGGCTTGCCCCACTCATATTGCCTTTCTGGCGGGTCTTAATTGTATAATTTGTGCGCTTGTCTGGTTGGACATATCTTGTTTTTATTAGCATACATTTTAATGGCCATTTATGTAATCTCATAGAGTGCGGCCGCATAAATCTCGCCGTCGGGTTCTCAGACAGTTAAGACCCGGCCTGAAGTCTGGTCCCAGGCGGGCCTAAAATAAAAAAATCTTTTTTGCGTATGACTTAATAAACATGTCGTTGAACTGTCGCCGGCAGCGCAGCTCTTTGCCTGCGGTTTATGGGCTGCTAGGCAGTGATTTTTATTTTATTTCATTTTTGAGCCGAGCTGAGTTGAGTTAAGTTGAGCACCTCGACAAACGCTTTTTAATTGTTTTAATTTTTTTCACTTTGCTGCTTACCCCGCCGAAACACAGCACCGCGACCCCCCTTGCCGCCGCCCCTGTGCACA